GTTTCCTGTGCGCTTTTTTATCCACCTTTCGCGAAGAATGGAGCTGCGTTGGAGTGTTTGATAGTATTTTGGGTGCTGTTATATCGCTACACCATACAATTTGTAGAAAGAAAAGGCTGAAAAGGTTTTGAGGTTAATGTGTTACAAATAAATCAAGCATAAAGCTTGATATACTATTTTAACCTGGTGAAATGTAAATGTCACAGGGCACGAAAATATATTAATTTCTTTTCTTTTTTTTTAATCCATCTGGACCATAGAACGGGACTCTCAAAGCCTTGACATCCGGGTATCCAGGAGACAAGTCAGTAAATTCGAGTAAAATCACAGGCTTCGCTTATCCCGTGCGAATGCACCACACGAAATTCAGAGGTGGGGGGTTAATTTCAAAATCACACAAGGTCCCCAGATAATACTAATCCCGTGCGAATAGGGCTAAACACAGCCTGATGCTTTGTTTATAGACTATTTGTGGGTGGCTGTTAGTTGTTTCACCTATCAATTCGTGTCGATAAAGTATAATAGGGTAAATCTCTGTTTTGCCCTGCCATCATTAGCTGAAGCTGTGTGTGAACAAGAAGCGGCTGCAGAGTTGCTCCGTCTCTCACGCAGCCAGAGAGAGATTCTCCGGTGTTCCGCAACAATGCTTAGCTCCCCGCAGATGCGCCTGCCTATAAATCGGCCTAATTTGCAGCACAATCGACCGATGCCGATTAATTAAAAAATGCCAAAAATCGTCCGATTAATCGGCATGCCGTCTCAAGTCGGACAAAATTTCTAACCGGCATGCAATGCTTAAAGTCAGAATTTGATCGATCTGCGCAGCACTGCGTTAAGTCGAACACACCTAATATGTTGGTTTGGTGCTCAAGAAACATCCTCTATTATTATTATTATCAATGCATTTTTTTGGGGGGTGGAAACGGTGATACACTACCATTCAAAGGTTTGAGATAAGCAACTTTTTTAAAGAAATTAATACTTTTATTTAGCAAGGATCCATTAAACTGGTCTAAAGTGACAGTGAAGATATATAATGTTGTTGTTTTTTTAATTCAAATAATTTTTCTATTCATTAAAGAAATCTGAAAAAAAAATTATCATGATTTCACCATTGACAATAATGAGAACCATTATTAACAATTGAATACCGATACTAACTAAGCACCAAATTAGCATATTACAATGATTTCTGATAAATCATGTGACGCTTAAGATTGGAATAATGATTGGAATTGGAAATTTCAGCTTTGCCATCACTGGAATAAATTACATTTGAAAACAGATTCAAATACAAAACAGTTCTTTTAAATTGAAATAATATTTAATAATAGCAATAATAATAATAATAATAACATTATTTATTTTGAAAAGAAATAATGTCGTTCAAAAACAAAAAAATTGTATAATTATTCCAAACATTTGTCTGCATTGTATATTGAACAACATATTGTATATTGTAGTGTAGTGTATACTACAAGGCAGCAACATGAAAGCCTTTACATTTAAAATAAAAGAAAAGGCCAGCATAACATGGATTACACAATGAAGTGCCATGAGAAATAGTGACAGCACTCTTGCCACAGCAAACACAGCTCTAGTGGATTCAGACTTCGCAGGTAACACTGGTAGATTACAGTAAACTGAGCATGCTAGGGCAAGTCAATCCTTCACCAGATACTAGTCTCAGTAACTTCTCACTAAGACAAATGTGACGAAATAGCAACTTGAAACTCAACAGCACAGCCCCAAGTGAGGGACTGGACATTAAGCAGCCCAAACCAGAGGGCTTCTGGTGTCAATGATCACTGAATGCATGTAACACCAGACAACAACCAGGTACCACAGAACTTGTTATGAAAACAACATCGTGATAACTACATTCGCTGCAAGTGTTACTGCAAAAAAATATGATGGTCATTCTCCGCCATGTGATTCTAAATTCAAACAAGCACACTTTAATAATTTGGCAGTAACTTTTCAAGCACAAAAACTTGGTAGGTTATTTAAAACTTTTGCTTTCCAGTCCATTTTCCCAAACAGTGTTTGCATGTGAGCAGATTCTCTAAAGCCAAGCTCCTTCACTGTGGTGGATTGTGAAGAATAGGTCAGATCTGAACTCCTCTGGAGAGGCTGCCATTGAAGCAACTGAACTCAACAAATTCTCATGTGTCTCATTAAACCACTTAAAGTGAAAATTGGTCTCCTACTATTATGAGAATCGTTCAGCAGAGCTGCAGAAGCAGCGGATAGGCCATCTTCAAAATGGAAATAGCTTTCTAAATACTGTGCACTATTTTTTGTGCTATTTATCTTAATAGTCACCATCCATATGGCAGCAAGTGGGGGGTGGCATTTA